AACACAAAACAGCAAATATATCAAAATTACCAGGGGGAAAAACTCATGAAATTGGTTTAACTTATCTAAGGGGGAAAAAAGGTTTTCTTTTGTGGGATTTCATTTGTATCCAACAATATAGTAAAGTATTTTAAAACTAAACCTACTTTTAGGCCCTTTTACTTATTTTCCCATAAAGTCACAGGGCAGAATAACCAAACAGCAATGTTAGCTGGCTCTTTTGGAATACTCCTTATAGGATGAGAGTGAATTCTTGACATCCAGCAGTTTAGGCTTCAGGACAAAGTCCAGGAGGCAGAGAGAGACAACACTGAGCCTGCAGGGGGCGATGCTGCTGAAAACTTTCCCTGGGACAGTAAACAGAAAGTACAGCCTGGGCATCAACTTTCCTGGGAGTGACTCTTGTTGACAAGAGGTCTAGGCCCAACAGGGATAGAAACAGATGTCTGCCCTGGAGCTGGAGCACCTAATGGGGTGTGCACCCCTTTCATTACGACCCAGCCTAAGCCCTCTGAGGGAGAAGGATTGAATGCTGCCTGGAGACCAGACTACTCCGTGGGAGGGGAAGGGGGTTAGCTGGAGGGGGCCAAGCTGCAGTGTGGGAAGAAGCTGAGCCTAGTTGAGACTGGAGACCCCCATAGCCCCTTAGCCCAGCTGGAGACATTAGAGACATTATTGGGGATGGGGCCAGGGAGGGGGTAGGTGGAGGGTTGGCTGGGTAGAAAAGGAAGTGTCAGTGGTGGTGAATGGGGGCTAGGCAGATTCATTCCAGCTAGCTCATTTTTTTGTTTGTTTACCTTTTCCTAAGGATCAATGTGACTCAAAGTGGTTTGTCCCCCAGCTGGGCCTCAGTGTTTTGCTGTGGAGCCCAGAGCTGCCCATGGTGGCCTGGGTGAGTGCTTTGGGCCTGATGGCACTGGGCCCTTGAGCTGGGGGTTGAATGAAACCAAGGAGTGATGGCTGCCTGTAGCTTCCTGGTGGGTGCCTGGAGTTCACACCAGGCTGCATCCCCTCTGCCTCCTAGTGCCCCAGGGTCCAGGTGAACCTTGGGTGGCCCAGGGAAAGGGACTT